AATTCAAATGACATATTAAAACGTGTATAATATTTTATGTAAATAACGGAATTAATTATAACTATTTTATCGAATAACTTTTTCTCCAGTTTTTATTTCGGGAACTCCCCTTCACCGGTTTTCCAAGTACTGTAGACATAAAACGTGATGAAAATTATTTGAACTTGATTTCCTGGGCGTTTAGTCACTGGTCACGGGCGGCTACCACCAATTTATGTACATAATTTTGTAACAGAAAAAACGTAAGGACGAAATAAAGAATAATAATAAAAAAAATCAGAATCTCTACATTATAACCCATTGTTATGCCCCCACTAAAAACCGCCGCGAATTTGTGTGTTGCTCACGAAACAAAGAATAAGAACCCGTGTAACAAAATCGAAATGGCTCACAAAGTAGTATCATAAAACTTCTTTACTGTGTAATTACATTCGAATTCTGTCAGAATACCGATCTCTAGCCAACTAACTCTAAATCTACACTTTATATAAAATAAAAACGTCATAAAAAATGTGTCGAACTAGAGTAAACTCGAGAAAGGACAAATCACCTTGAATTTTAAATTTAAATAAAACCTTTCCAAAAATACAACTAAACGATGAAATATTTTACATCTTCGTTCTATCTACATATGTGTTTTACCACCATACATCATGAACTACTACATTTTTGTCAAGTTTTTAGATTTAGCGATAAAAATTCTATAAAACAGCCATCACCTGTCAGATCCAATAGCAATCCATTTTCAAAGAATTATAGAACATAAATAGGCGTTATCTTCACGCTATATGCACAATCTACCCTTAATAACAGTCCTCAAATTTTTAACACATTTTGTACTTTAGTTTTTAAGTCGGGCAATGATGAGGTTATCACCAAAACAGCAGAATGTATTAAAAATGCGGGTAATAGTTTTCCCAATGTATTTCATGTGGGCGAAACAAAAATGAACAATAAATATCATTTAATTTGTTTGTCACATACTAATGATTAATAAAAATAAGCGTAGTAATTTATTCTTATTAAATTAACATATTTATAACGACATATGGAGATTATAACATGAAATTTTCTCGAAATTTCGTCGTCTCTAATGTTTACAAAACACTAAAAAAAAAAAAAAAAAAATTGAACAATTATTTTTCTCGTAGTCACAATAAACGACTGAATTATTAAATATTATAGACGACAGAAAATACTATAAAACTAGAGCAAGTCACAGTTACTACGAGTTATGTCGCGTATAATAATGCGTATATTATTTACGCATGTTTAAGAAACTGATACATTTATATAATGAACGATATATTAGAATTACATTTATTCAACCTCAGACAAAATGCTGATTTTATAACTAGCATAATTTCTTTATGGTTGTATCTAATTAACGAAGAGAACTACTTTACCTCACCGGAAACTTGATGAGTAATAACCAAGAGAAATGTTTTTATTTTTAATAAATATTCAACACAAATAAAAACTAACTCATTTGATGGTTATCTATATGTCAGTATTTGCTGCAAAATATTTTGCACTCTTACAACATTTATTAATATTAGTTTTGCCCAAACGAATGTGCCAACCAACATAAAGTGTGTGTAGTAGTGGCATGGAAATAATAAATAAATAACTGCGGAAAAAGGAATGTGGTAAAAATGTGCTACTGAAAGGGGTGGATACGCATTCCTTAAAATAGTTCGTCAGTGGTATTATACTATGAAACATAAATACATATAAAATATTATTATATTAGGTGGCAAGGGGTGCACAGTCAGTCTGTAAAACGATACAAAATATCCGTTTTATGATGTCATAAACACGGCCATAAATACCCGTCGATGAATAGAAGCCAGGAGGGTATACATACGGAAACTTTGGGGTAGGCTTAAAATTAGATTAATTGTATGACATTTGAAGGGAGACAAAACTGTGGGTTTCAAAATGAATATAATATCTTCGGTAAAGGTAAATGCACAATATTTTTCATCGAGAAACGAGTTGTCTTAGATGAACAGGTTTTACTACCTACGCAGGTCAAAGTGGAATGATAAAAAAAAGAAGCGCTACATCTATATATATATTATTGGTAAAACATTGGGTGACTCATTCTTCAGATTTAGATTCTGTTGTATTAAATTATTTATCTAGGTTATAGACAGATGAATAGAAACAAAAAAAAAAAAGCTTTTTTCTTCTTATTAATATTTAAAATGGTTAAATTTATTAAACATGAACGCATTACGCGCAAAAACATTTATTTCTCGGGTATTTTATTTTTTTGAAAATAAATACACGTACGCTCATTAGCACTGCATATTATCGATATAGAAGAAACTTAATGGTATCATTCACAAAATGGAACTACTAATTACCACAGACAGAAATATTACAACTTTTGAAGTTAAGACTAACAATTAAGTATTATTATTTGAAATGCCCGAAGCATGTCACAACAAATCGTTAAACTGTTGTTAAAATAGTTGAATACAACGTTATTACTAAAAATTACGTTAATTATGATTATATTTAAAAATTTTGATTTTCTACGATTCATGTCATACAAGTTCAAAATCAACCAATTGAATTGCCAGTACACGGTCAATGTTTGAAAAAGGTTAATAAAATTTTTCTTCGAGTATAGTTTAACAACACTAGTCTATTGATACAGGCGTTGCTATTTAACTGGGAAAATTAAACAAAAATAATAACGATCAAAATATGTCTAGTGCCTTATCACACTGTCCAAAATGACGATCAGAACAAAAGGGAATTACGAGTAAACACAGAATCAGAAGCACTCCGAAGAACAGTCATAAAAAAAGGGTGGTGAATCCCTATTATTAAATATACAGCAGTTACATACTGTACCGCGAGATTAGCTTGTTTTTACGGCTTTTTAAACGGCTGCTGTTTCGGGCAGTTACCATGAGATTGTCCCATACATTTCATCAACTCCAGTACATGACCCCCGTTGTGTTTTATTCGAGTACACGCCCTACAGCAACAACAGGCACACGTTTACCGTGCGATCGAAATTCAGACATTTAACAAGCAACTCCCGCACACTGATAATAAGGGCAAGCCGCACCCTTACACCAACCGACGCGACGTATCCACCTAAAATCCACTACTGCTCCCATTTTGGGGTCACGTGTTTTCTGTTTCGACACCGGTCGTGTAGGCAAGTAATTTATTAAAAAAAAAAAAAAAGAAACAATCATCATTACGATGGTCTGACCGTCGACCGATTAAACAGAAATCATATTAAGACTGTAAAATTCAACGCGCTCATCCAGTGTAATATTATTATGGTTATTATGTGGCAGCATTGATACAGTACACGCGCACACCTGAATTTTCAAGGGCGGCAGTGTCCGAAGAGCAGCGGACGGCAACAGCAGATGGTCAGATACGCGGGGGGACGAAAGCAAAACGCGGAACCGGTGGTCCGTGCGCCGCCGCCGCCGTCTTCACAGTCTAGGCCGGGTTCGCGCCGACATCCAGCCGAGTTCGGGAGGCGGCAGGGGTTCACAATGTTCCGCAATACCATAACAGCATATACTTGTTTTTGTCATGTAACTGTTGTGTGGTAGACAAGTATGTGTCCTGGTAAGCGCACGTATTATCACGGGAAATATAGGCCGTTTTGCCGTCGAAGGTTCAAGGAAGGACAACTGGAGCAAATTTGGAAAAGGCCAGGTCTCGTAAATGGCGACGCTTACCAATGGAAAATCCTTGTGGAAAAATACTGTAATTTTATATGGGGCACGTTTTAATAACTTTCAATTGTAAAAAAAAAATCAAATAACTGTTATACCTGTGTATTGTATTAAAACCTTGATTAACTCGGACAATACAAGTTTTCGTACATAATTCATGATAAGTACCAACGCGGCGTCAGTAATTAGTTTTACAACATTAAAAAACACCAAAAATTTTCTAGCAGCGCACATCACAAACTATAAGTTTGGAAAGTGATAAATAATTGTTTCCTATTAAACCGACAGTTTGGATGAGGGCACGTAATTCGACCAAGTGGAAACTGACGAACGACTACTCAATTAGTTTCAGGTCATAATAAATTATGACAAATAATTTATTAATTATGATACAAAACTATTTTATGGTAAAATATTTTAATTAACTTTCCACGTCTTGCTTCTAATTTATTTCTGATTTATTGATGACTAGCCATAACATGAAAATATTAAGCGAATAAAACATACGTGTGCCAAACACGTTAAAATTCCGCATGTTAATAATATCCCAAGAGCTGAGATCACTTATTTTATAATAGAAATTTAATATTTATGAAGCAAAATACGTGAATGGTATTTCACAATAAAACGTTATTGTCGAATTTTTCAACAAAAACATTCTTATATATCAAACAAATAATCTAAATGATAAAAAAACTGGAAAATTTACAATTACTGAGTGAAACAAAAATATGTTATTGCACTTTTTATTTTTGGTAACATATATTCGTGTCATATAAAATAAAGATTTTAGGATTAGATTTGTTGTATTCGAAAACCGAGCGAATAGATTTTCACGACTAACAACAACATTACGTTATATTCATCAAATAACGTTTTACGAAAAATACACAAGTCAATTTTTTTTTTTGCAATGTATCACGTATCTGGAAATAAACTTTGGGAAACCCTAGTTTGAAACAGACCTTCCGCAAAGTAAACCACCCTAACCTCCCAAATAGTGAATGAGGCGTGCACGCGTGACATCAAATGAATTTTTGGCATAATATTGTATGAAAAATGATGAAACTGAAAAATTTACCGAACGCTATATGTACAAGGGAGTGATAATTGTAGTCGAGACTTCGACGATGGCCAAGCAAGTTATGTAATTTTTAAAATAACAGTTATAAATATATTAACTAATGGCAACAAATATTTTCAGTCGAATGCAATTATTTTCATCAATTACATTAAAATATATTGATTATGATTAAATAATTATTATCATTAAAAACTCACCAAGTTCTTTTAGGAAAACGTAAAAGAAACGTCCGTTGAGATATATTACGTAGGCTATGAATATTTAAAGACCGGCAAGTACACTGATAAAAAACACTTAGAACTGAAAAATGTAAACAACGAAAAAATAAGTATTCGACAATAAGTAATATATTCAAAATACACCAAAAGTGTTAATTTACCCGAACAAATGTTACATTAAATTAAAAAAAAAACGAATTTTTAACGATGGGGCACGATCAGAGTGCTACAAGCATCTAAAACAACGACGTTCTGTTACCACCGAACGAACCATAGAATCGGTTTAGCCGTTGCCGTAACGCCGTATCCACGAGATTCGATGTTGACCAATCGCATTTGTTCTGTATAGACGCTGTTAACAGTACTGCCAACTTAGGGTGTGGCTGAAACAACATGATTGTAGAATAGCAATTCATTCGGTTACACTGTGCATTTCTTATCAGAACAATTTTTTAACAATAACTGACAACAATATTGATTTTATTTGATTGAATGACAATTTATTTGAATTGTGACTTCATTTGAAGGGTAATATGCATTATGTTTAAAAATTAACTTGATATTTAAGGCGAAATCTTAGAATATTACTAAGATATATTAAGTAAAATTATAATTTAATAATTTTTGTTCTATTAATAAAGACTAATAAAGTCTTCATAAATAAGACTCAATATAACATAACTGCATTTAAAACTATTACATTGAATTATCGTAATCATTGCTTAAAATTAGATCGTTTTTAACAATTTAATTTAATTGTGGTTGTAATTATTACTTATACATTGATGTTCAATTTATTTTACTAAATTTCTTTTGAAACGAAATAATTAGTTTTAAATTAAATATTTATAGGTATGTCTAATTTGAATCATGTTCAACAAGTTCGTTTATTGTATAAATCAATATTAAGGCTACATCGTGGATTACCACAAGAATTAAAAGAACTTGGTCAAACATATGTGAAGGATGAATTTCGCAGGCATAAAAATTGTAACCCGGCTGAAGCACATATTTTTATGTTGGAATGGACTGTATGTAATACATTGAAGACCACAGGTTAAAAAGACTTATGCACCTGAATCAAACAATAAATATTATTTTCATTTATTAATAGAATATGTATTTACATTAATAATTTTATACATTATTCTTCTGCAATTGAGTAATACTATATTCATTATTATTATTATTTTCTATTTTATCTAAACATTTCTGAAAATAGGAAACTCAATAAACGAATTGTTAAAATTATAATCACATGTGTACTTTAAATGCATTATTTTAATTGTTAAAATTGTTTAAAAGAAAAGAAAAATCATAATCTTTATTGAGGTGCTTCAGTTTATTCAACCTACAGGTTAACCAACTATCTAACTTCTTTAATGAACAGTTTATCATTTAAGTAATGTATCTATGAAATCTTAATATATTTTTTAGAAATACACATTGACATTATCTGAGCAACTTTTAAAAAATGCGAAATCTAATGTTGGCTTTGGCAAGAATCTAGATGTACAGTCTGAAATATTGGATTCATTTACAGATGATCAGATGCTACAACTTTATGAAATGCTTAAAGTAACTACTGGAGTTAAAGATGAAATAGTTGAAGCTGAACTTACTCAACAGGCTCAAAATGATACTTTTAAGAAATAATTGTTCTTCACTGGATTTCAATGAGTAATATATTCACACCCTTAAGAAATATTAGTCATAGATGTGAATAAAAAGTTTCTCATTCTTACTGAAAATAACCACTATAATTAGATATTATGTTCATAAATTTAAAATTTGGTTTAATGATTTAAATTTAATGTAACCTTAAGTAAAAGAACTGATGTTATATGAAGACTGCCTACTGTTAAAGATACATATATAGAATTAAATTATGGTGGTTATTAAATAATATTTTAAATTGAATATATTAATAAAAATGTAAAATTTGAGATAAAGATTAAATGTTATTTTTAACAATTTGGAAATATTCATTAGACACTTAATTAGTTTTTAAATATGAGCAAATATTAAGTTTGAATTACTATTTATATATGCAATCTGAACTGAATAAATAATTCTTCATAACTTCATTATATTATCAAATAGAAAATAATTAAGTTAAGAATTAAAATTAAATATTTATTCATTTATCTTAATAAACAAAATATTGATGTTTATTTTTATAAATTGTAAAATATCATTATCTAGATTACTTATAAATATTTATTTAATTAAAATGTTATTTAAATTATTAGTTTGTATACAGTTTTATTTATCAGAGTTAGGCTGTGAGCATGTATTTGACAACTAGATATATCTAATGAGCCACCACATGTTGAGGCTTGAAAATTTGGAATTCACATTTATTTAGACCAATCGATGAGAAGCTTTTCTTAAACTCAAACCAAGCTTTTATTATTTTTTCTAACAACCGCATTTGATTTCTCTAATTTATAGTTTAAATATAAGTGTTTTTACCAAAATATAGTAAATTAAAATAGATCCATGAGAAAATATTTAAACAATTTTTCTTTATTGAAATAATTTAAAATTATATTAATTTTAGAACAATTATAAAACTAATTTTGTAATTATTGTAAAATTATTATTATTATTCAGTTATTTATTGTTAATTTTTTATAGTCAATATTAAAAAAAATATTTGTATTTGATAAATACTAATAATACAACTAATTTCTATTTATTTCTTTTTTTTGTAAGAAATTCAAGGTTATTAATTTTATATTTGTTAGTTTCGCAAAAAAAAAAAACATTTAAATTTTATAGTGATAAATTGTTGCCACATTTTTATGATATATATTTAAAAAATGTTTAACAACTAAAAGCTAGTATGCTAGCTGACATTTATGTCTTATATACTAAAATATGCCTTAATATTATGCTAAATACTTAATTTGAGTTCTTTGAATTACTTAAAAATATTTTAAATGTTTCAATGTTAATACTTTGGATTAATGTATGTCCTCCAAAGACAAAGTAAAGTTTCTTACTCCATTGTCTTAGCTTCCCAATCCCCTATATACAAGTTATTTATTGAGTACTTAAATATAGAATTTCTAGGTACTGAAGTCCTCAGAATTATCATGAAAAACCCATGCATGAATGTAATGTTATATAAACTAGCTGTAAATTCAATTTTGTAAAATTTTATCATTTATAATGAGAATACAGTTTAGACACAATATATTTATTTATTTTTGTTTTAAAGATAATATAATAATTCTTAGTTATAATATTGTTAGCATATTCTTAAGCAGTGACTAGCAAATTTTAAAATTATAACAAAGTATTTTTATGTACAATTGATGATTTTTCTTAAACAAACATCAGAGCAAATGGGATATTCTTGGCATTAAGTAGGTTTATACACAATATAAATATTTTAACTATGTCATAATTGTAAATGGTGCAGAAGGATCGAGTATTCTTTTCATTGTAAATAACATAACATACTTAAAATAAACATTACTTACAAAATGGTACTTATGACAATGTTGAAAAGCTTTTCCAAGAAAAATATTAATACTGAATATTCAATAATGTATATATCATTGATTTAAAACTTGAAATAACACATTACAAATAGAATTATAAAATCAATAAAGACTATTTACAATTAAATAGTATAACAATATTTTATAAAAGAAAAAAAATGTTTCATACTTTTAAATACATAAACAATAAATTATAACAAAAGAAACTCGATTTTTAATTGTTACTTTACAATTTTTTTTTAAGTATAATACACATGTTTTAAGCTGATTTTTCAATATACAAACAGATATTCTTATCATAAATATTCACGAAGAAACAGGAAACATAATTATGTTATTTTTGAGTATTTTTTCATCTGACTTAGATTACACTATTCCGGTTAGTTGCTACCGGTATAGTACAACTAGTAAAAACATCGTCAAAAGTATAGTTTTTTTATTGATTCCAAATAGTTGAGCGATATGAATAGTAACTGATCTGCTTGAAGCTGTAATAAAAAACAAAATATTAATGCATTAATAAATAAACATTCCACTATAAAGTTTACTTTAAACTGACACTTAGAAAAATTACCAAGAAGGAAAAATTAATAAAAAAAATATACTAAGTTTTATCGATATAATTCATAAAAAGATATATGGACTTATTTTCCTTAGTAAATAAAATATAAAATTAGTTGAGTAATCAATGCTCTTAGAACTTGAAGAAATCATTAGAAAATAAAGACGGAATAAGCCATTTAAATACGAAAGGAACTCCTAAAGAACTACAATCGTTTAATAATTTAGTTATTCATCGCAATTTTTATGATGATGACCACTTATTTAGCTCGTCGCATTATTAGGAAAAGGGATAGGTTCCTCATACAAAAATTTACCAAGCACTCGTCAAAAATTTAATTCAATCTTGTTATTAAATAAACATGCAATCTTAATATACGAAGTAATCAGTTTATCATAAATCAATATATTAATCACGAAAGAAATACAATATTGAAGAATAAATGTTTTTTTAGTTACACATATTTCTTGATTTATTAGCTATAATTACTCTTTAGTATCAACCCTTATAACGTAAAGAGGTATCAACTTTATTTTTTTAATGGTAACGTACATATTTAATTAACTTATAAAATAGAATATTATTTAATTAACAAATTGACTGTTCGATAACAAATTTTGGATTAGTACTTTGAATGTTATCCTTATTATTACACCTAGTTGGGACAAAATGTATGGACGGGAAATTAGTAGTAATAAATATAGTAGCACCTAGTCTTCACGTCCAGTCATAACTTTAAATTGTTAATAATTTCAGAAATACTGGTCCAAAAGTTGTAATCGGCCAGCCATTTTTGGGCTGGCTTAAAGAGGGTTAAAAATGATACCCTAAGGGTAGATTTACAATATTTTTGGTCTATCTCAGAAACATTAACTTTTATGAAAAAGTTCATAGAAACTTTTTTGTAGATATAATAATTTTCTATAAAAAAGATATCTTCAAAAATTTTCAAAAAATTGTTATTTAGCCTAACAAAAAATGAAAATGCAAATGTTCTATATTTATCGTTAAAATATTAACTTGATTTATTTGCTAAACCCTTTACTGAAGAAAAAAAACGTTCGCAAAAAGTTATTTTTAATTAAATATTCTATATATTTTTTACCTAACATTTTTTTTTTACCATTTATTATTCATAAGGTATATTGATTATTCTATGAAACTATACGGTTTTCTCAATATGTTCATAAATTTAAGAACCACAAAATTCGTTATATTTATGGGGTTACAGATAAGTCATTCACAAGATTATTATTATTTTTAATTGTTTTATTACATGTATTTATCTGGTATACTCCAAAAGAAAGATGGAAAACTTCCTTTTTCATTACCAGGAAAACAACTAGTTGAAAAATTACCAATAATTATGTAGAATATCTAATTGAAAATTTTTTTTAATAAGTGTGTATATTACAATGGTTTAGTTCACCTAATGCTTCATTAGTGTCAAATTTAGATTTAAAATTTATAAAAAGTATGTTTGAAGATGAAACAATAGATATAGATATTTCTAAAGTAGTTTAAAAGACCTGTCCGGTCACTTATGGTATTTAGTATCCGTAACAGCAGCATTGGCATTTTTTGATGATAATTTATCTGAAGATACCAACATTAAAATTGTGAATTAATTTAATAATCGCGAAGAAGCTCCATGTACGCACATATGTGTAGTTTTAGGTTTATATGGAATTTATGAAAATAAAAATAAAAATATTGAAGACATCACTTCAACGGAATCAAAAAAAACTTTTGAAAAATTTGAAATTGAAACTGATTTTTTAGATTTAGATACTTTGTTATGGAAAGACAACAATCAATGTAGAAAAGTAAAAGAAATTGTAAATAATTTAAAAGTCGTAAATGATTTGGCAGAGAGTGGTGTGAAGCTCATCGAAGAATATAATAGTATTTTAACAAAAGATGATAAAGCACAAAAACAATACCTACTACAGATTGTTACAGAATATCGGTATTGTTTTCCTAATTAATGCTAATAAAAGCATTTTATGTCAAGACTTCTAAAAACAAGTCATTTTTGAATACCTAGTTAAATTTTTTATACGTTTTTTTATTTGTAAAGTAGTTTTTAGTATTTTAGTAATATGCAAGTCTGAATATTTTATTTAATTAATTTTATGAATTATTCAATGTACTTGTGATTAGTAAATGGTAAAAAAAATGTTAGATAAAAAATACATAGAAAATTTAATTAAAAACAACTTTTGTGTGAACATTTTTTTTTTCTACAATGAACGGTTTATAAAATAAATCAAGTTAATAGTTTCTACGGTAAATATAGAACATTTGCATTTTCATTATTTGTTAGGCTAAATAACAATTTTTTGAACAAATTTCTAGATATCTTTTTTATAGAAAATTATTATATCTACAAAAAAGTTTCTATGAACTTTTTCATAAAAGTTAATGTTTTTGAGATAGACAAAAAAAATTGTAAATCTCCCCTTAGGGTATCATTTTTAACTCCCCTGGGACACGCCTTAGAGTTTTACAATCACCAATTTTTTGGGTAATCGAAAAATTTCAGAGGGTAGCACTTCTAAATATTATTAAAAAAAACCTACCAATGTAGCTAATGACACCCTAGTGCACACTAACCAATTTGATCTATATTTTTTATTCGAAATTTTCAAGAATCATACAACATAATTTACTCACCATGAACTGGATCAGCCCTAGAGTCGGCATCTTGGCCGTCTAACGTGCCATCGTCTTGGGTTGGTGGAGAAGCCCCAAAGCGAGGCCTATGAGCCGCTGCACTTTGTTCTTTCGACTTCCAGTAGACTGTACCTAATGTAGCCACACACTTCAATCTCATGTCTCTATCATGTCTACGGATTTGATGGGCTGGATTGCGGAAGTGTTGTAAACCAACCACAAATCGTAGGCCTAACGTCGTAACCATCAGACCTTCGCGGCCAACGTACTCCGTGTATGGGCCTCTCAAGTGAGAAGAATTCACCTGAATATACATAAATACGAAACATTAAAGACATCTCCTGATTGTTAAAAGTACGCACTTTATAGAAATTATAAGTGTTTTTAATATAGTATTATATGCCTTCTTTAAAAAAAAAAAAAAACTATTTACCTGTTCACCATTTATGTACCATGCTAATTGGACTGCCGGTTTTGATCTGCCGGATGTACAGTTAACGTCTACGATATCTCCTGGTTTGTATTTATCTTGTCCACCACTTATACGAGGTCCTTCTTCAGGAGGAGCTATCAGGAAAACATTTCAAACAATTAATATGGTTCTAAATGTCGAAGTTATCACTATAAATTATTCTCTTTTACTTAATTGTTTGTTAATACTTTGAAGAACTTTGTCTATTTAAGGTAACAATTAGTTTTAGTCAATAAATAAACTATGAAATCATTAATATGTATTGTTAATTGGGCGATGCCGACATTTAAACTCTACTATAAATACTCAAATTTTTATTGAAAAAACTAAGAAAATTTGTAGTTATTTATTATCGTTATAAAATTTTGTACTACCAAATTGACCTTTTTTCTTAAAAGTTGTCTGTAAGTTATCCGAACAAATGACCATGTTTCATTGTACTGTTTAAATTGTTCAAGTTTAATGCTTGTCGAAGAAAGAAAAGATCATTAATTTATGTTATCCATTATAGGTAAAGTTTTTTTTAAATGGAAGTTAAAAGAAAAGGTTTTTTTATAGCATTTTTAAAAAGTCGTTAAACCGTTTAAATGTCAAAATAAAATAAAAATATCGTTAATCAGTAATGTGCGAGGCATATACATATGTACACAAGAAGTATCATTTTTAATCAGTATAATCTGTAAGTTGCCAAGCAATAACCATTTACAAACGTATATCGTAATGGATGCTGCTATTAAAGTGTGTTTATAATTTAAACGAGAGATTACAGAAGAGACCATTGGAATCCCTTAGACTTCAAACTGGCGTAGATCGATTTGGATTGACTTAAACTGAGAAAGTACTTGTAATGTGCTTGAGTTTAGACAATTTTCACGTGCAACGATGTTAGCGTTTAACGTATCAGATTACACCGTGACCTCCTATACCCGAGGGCATTCTTATCGTTCTCAGTATAAGACTGAAGATTTATTTGATGGACTATTAACTTCATATCTCTTTCAACAGAACGATAAGGAAATCGAAATTAAATATTCTGTACGTGAAAATTTCATGAGCCCAGAATAAAAATCAATTAAAATTTGTTCAAAAAAAAAAAAAAAAAAATGCGATTGAACATATTTGATTTTATTAGTCATTCTTTGAAATAACGAAGCTATTAAGTTTGTATAAAAACAAAATTTCAACTATATTGGTTGTATTTATCACAATCAAATAAAATTTTTTCTTACCAACTGTTAGCATTGAACTATGGTCCGTGACTGTTTGGAAAAATGGCGCTTCGGCCGAAACTTCACAACGGTATCTGCCACTACTCGATAACTCTAAAGGCCTTAAAACAACAGTACCCGCGGTTGATTCCATTTCCTGAAAAATAAACACAGTTAATGAGAGATTCATTAAGTCCCCATTCAACTTATTTAAGTCTAAATTTTCTCCACAACATCGCAAATTTAATAAAAATAAACAAATTTTTAATTAAAATAATATTTATAAATTGTGTCCCATAAAATAACATGAAGATTAAATGTCTAGTAGCTTTTAGGCTCAATCTGCAATATCTCTACTATTCTTATCTTATGTAAATAGTAAATGAGTTTATTCGCTAATCAGCGAAGGGTTGGGTTGAGTATTAAATAAGGATATAAAAATAGACATGGTGTGTGTTTACACAAAAAAAGTTTTTAACATTAGAAAATATTGCACTACTACATTTTTTAATGTTTACAAGTTTATTAAACTTTTGATCGTGTACGGTACAATTACCAAAATGTCATTATTGGGGAATTTTAGTAAAAACTTTAATAAAAGTTAAATATGAAAATATACACTGAACTTATTGTACCCCTAATTGATTAAATGTAATTACTTAATGTGTCAAAAAATACAAAATGTTTTTTCGAGAAAGTTGCATTATGATTGTGTCAGTGTGAATGGGAAACCTGTACATTTGGGCAGATCAAAATCAAACCGAGTCACGAATCGTTCCTAACTGAGCTACACAAGTCGCCTTCATAATGCTCCCCTTATAAATATTTTAGCACAAATAAAATATTCTTATTTTATAAAAAAATTTCAGTTATTTAAAAAAAAATGATTATTTATTCATTTTTGGTTCATGTAGAGGGTGCTGTCAACTTTTTACTTTATTTTAAAACGCGGACCATGTAGGAAAAGGTATATTATTTATTAATCAACTTCGTGGGAAGTTAAAATACGAAGCTTATATAGGTTTGATACTTCTAATTGCGAACACATAGTACTACGCCTCCGTTGGTCAAATAAACGCTACAGTTAATTGAATTTTAGACGGCATTCAATGTAGGCAATTGTAGTGCGGTCTTGCATTTCATTTATAAATTTTGCCTATTTCAGATTGTACGAGTATGTTATTCAATGAAGTTTGAACAAACAAGAACAGCGAGAGTACAAAAGAGTAAAAAACATAATGAAATAGGTGACAATTTTTGAATTTGCATTCTAAGAAATGAAGCGCGAATTGGGTTCTAATAAAACAAATTTAACGTCAGTTGTTGTTAACACTCGGCGGATATATAAACAGATTCAAGAATTAAATAATTTAAATAATAATAATAATAATAAAAAATTCTAATGAAGTTCGAATGTAAAAGAATAAATTCGAATTCGGTTTTCGATTACATTACTAAGTGACAGTTGCTTTATTCAAACTAAATCTCGTGCGCATTTCAAATTTCAGGAGAATAGCACAGGTTTCCATGGTAAAAAAGCAACGACCGTAGAAACCTCCGGTCAAGTCTTCATTTATATTTAAACTCTCCCCGCACGCATGTATTTGTTATTTCTGAGTTTTTTCTCATTTTATTTTCGTTTTTCTATCAGTGGATTTAAAGGGATACGGCGCTTTGCAAGTCTCAGGTTGGAATACGTTTGCGGAAGCATAAAAACCACAATATGACGACAATATGGAAATGTTTATGCGCCGACCCCAATAAACCCGATGTGTATACACCACACGGTAGTATACTATCGAACGACTTTATCGTGTAAATCATTACCTACACTCTTTTTAAGTGTTTAACGGGACATTGACGAGTGACCATTAACGTTGAAAAACTATAGTCAACGTGAAAGTAAAACAATGCTATGAAATAAAACTACTCTATAAAAGTTTATCCATTACAGGGTTAGTAAATAACAATAATAGTCTATTGTATTGCCTTCCTCGTCGAAATCAATCACCATATAGGCTCTTTTGAAAGAGTTTCACATCATTAAAAGTGTAACTAATGTGTAACAAATGTACTGAACTATTGCGACAAATAATAATTTTACCCATTTGTGTGTTCCATAATTATAAATATTATTTAGGGCACTAATTCCAGTTGTTTTTGAAAAAAGAGGTAATATTGTAAAGTTTTCAATTCCAAAAAGATTATAGGAAATAAAATAATCAATATTAAAAGTTTACAATATTGATTCGGGCAATTTTATAGTAATATATTATTCTTTATCAATGACAGTAGACCCACAATATTTAACCAATTAGTGTCAAAAAAAAAAAAAAAATATATATATATATGTACTTTATTTTTTTTAATATAAAGTATTTTTAAATTGATATTAATTTTACCAGAAACTTAAATAGTTGGACAAGTTGATAAACGCGAATAGCATTGTTTCTCTGTGATTTATAACATTTAACTTGCCGAGAGTAAGAAATATAAGTAAAATATATTAAAGTATATAAGTAATATAAGTAAAATGTATTAAAGTATATAAGTAATATAAGTAAAAGGTATTAAAACTCAATAGTATAATGAACTTAGGAATAGTATAGTAAAATATTTACTTTAATATTACAAACAAAAGTTTCCCAGAAAGTACAAAGTGATCTTAATTAATTTTTCCTCTGGTAAAGTTTCTTTGAAAGTTATTCATGCATGTTTTTTTGTTGGAATAAGTTTTATAATTCTGTATTAGTAATTATAATAATTTTAAGTGTACGGGAATGTAAAAAATATATATGTTTTGTTTTAAAATTAACAAATTGTAATAAATGCACAAATGGTGGTGATATTTGAAATATTTGAATCATTTGATTAGGATTATTGATAAGTTAATTTACCATAAAACATTTCTTTTTTATAATGTTTGTAGATGAAAATATTCTGTAAGAATATTTTAAAAATAAACTTCACAACACGGTTTTTTCATATGTGTATGCGATACAAATTCAAAAAAACGCAAAGCATGGTTTGCACTTAATTATAAAAACTACTTTTAAAAGCGTTCCCAAAACTAGTATCGCTTCTTTAAAGCTAAAATGAATATCAGTTTCGTTTAGTCCACACAGAATACTGTTGATTAATAACAAAATATAACTGGTAAAACTATCAAAGGTCTTTAAAAAAAAGATTATCTATTGTTTTTAATAAAACATTATTATTAAATCAATGAATCAATGATTACGAATTATTAAAAAAATAAGAATCTAGCTTTAAATTTATTTACCTAACTATTAAAAATACATTTATTCAGACTTGTTTTTTAATATTAGAATGTTGTAGAATCCTGTCAGAATTTCTACTCTGTCGAATAGATAAAAAACAAAAAAAAAAAAAAACGTAAAAGGATAATTACAAACGTGCCACTTTGACACAGAGGCGTAATTCGTCTACATCAAAAGCTGTTTCCAGTATCGGTAGGCCACCGTGAAATAAGCTCTGCTTTGTGACTTACACGTACGACAAGGTTTTGGTGAGGAATGTAAAAAACATCGAACAGAGAAATACAATGCGCTTTGTGTGATCAATAGGGTACAACCCGAAGAAATCGTATTAAAAGCTAAAACGCGGTGGTCGTGTGGCGTTTTTGCGAGCGCTTGGCATTAATTTTCCAGGCCAAAACGTTCGCGTTTCATCATTCCGCGAATCTGACAACAACACCTGGCGCAGTCGGAGACTAATTGACGGCTGTTGCCTCCTCTATTCGTCCCCCACCCTAACAGCCTACAAACATACTAGAGGTATTTTTGCCCGTTGACTAACCTTGAACCCTTTTGAACGGCTCCGGTGCTGACCGGTGACGCTGTTGCGCCAAGTCGCGGTCCATTAATAATTCTATTGGGTAGAACAAAAATTTTGGAGAGCGATTGAAAAGTTTATTTCTGATTCGTTTACATATCAATCGCTCACACGATGTCATTCGATTTTGAACATGTTAATTTTACAACAGCCCCCCTCCCCCAGTGGAGTGTACTCGCAAATCAGCCATGTGCTAATTTTTCATTAGTCCCATTGAAAACTGTTCCAATTGACGGATCAATTTGATTCAATTTTTCACTACTCGACTACCTCATTAAAATTCTAAAGAACCCTAGTCGAATGAATCGGAAGGATATTTGAAAACTACTCACGTCCACGTGTACTCCAGTCATTTCAAACACTTGAACTTGTGGAGTCTCTCCCGGCAAGTATCTGTAAAATTCGTCGCCATCCTTGTACCATTTGACTGCATAGAGTTTTTCGCCCTGCAAGTCAAATTTACATTCTAGTCGTGTGCTGTTGCCAACCAAAGTATGTTGCTCAATCTTGAGTTCAGTCAACTTCAGACAAAAAACTAAAAATAAAAATTCGTTATAATTAGACACTTCGCCGATAAAATGTGTTACTTAATAGTTTTTTTTCTTTTTTATATTTTTCTTTATTATTGTATTTTTTTTAATATTTAAACGTCTTTTTGAACGCCCATTTTTTTTTTTTTTTAGATATCTTTGATCTTTCCTCTTGATCTTATCAATAGGTAAAATACACATATTATACTTCAGGAACGTGCTACGAACTATTTATAAATGCTTGAATGAAAACATCTAAAGGAATTCATTTCAATGTAACATTCCTCTATTGTGTAATAATAGGCCTCAGTATAAGCTGTAAATAGTTAAATTTCCTGCGTAAGGCACAATTTGGTAAACTGAAGTTAAGCTAAACATTCTAATTCAAAATGTGTAGTACGTAATTACGAATAATGTTTCTACTGTCACTTGATTTTACAATTTCAGTATTATAAATGATAATAAAAAAAAACAACCCAGCACAGGGGGGTCGCGGCACAGTTGTGACGTGGTATAGTTGGATCAAGTATAATGATATCTGACAGTGATTAAAATCACTATCAAAAATAAACGCTTCGATGCAAATCTTTAGATAGTGTTTAATTTTAAAAAAATTGGTGTTTTATTCCAAAAGCTACTTGATTTGCTGGTTCCTTAATATCTCGATTAAGATAAAGTATGTCGAATGAAAAAGGGTTTATTAAAAAAAATTATTTCTCATAAAAAAATTGTGTGGATCCATAAACTTTTCAATAAGTTATAGCATTATAAAGTTAAATATAATATGAATAATAAAATCGAGAATTATCACACGAAAATAGCATTCGGTAGCCATTTTCGCCGCGAAGAAAAGTCCAGAGGTCAAATTTTTTTTTTTCAAATTAAAGTATATTACATTAGCTTTAATTTAAGATATATATAAAAGTGTCAGACCTTCCGGAACATTTTCAAAAGTTATGTTGAAAAAGTAAATTTTTTGTGAAAAAGTTGTCATTTTAAATCCCCCCCTGTGGGCAGGTTAAGTGTCAGATTTACAAAAAAAATATACCAAATGATAAGTAAAGACATCAAACATCTATATAAAAAAGAATTATATTGATATGTTCATTTTTGAAAAAGTTAGAGGATTATTAAGTTAAAAATATAAAAAAAAATTATTTTACAAAAATCGTAATTTTTTATTAACTTTGATGTCAACTTTCACCACGAAGACAAGTCCAGAGGTCAAATTTTTTTTTTTCAAATTAAAGGATATTACATAAGCTTTAATTTAAGATATATATAAAAGTGTCAGACCTTCCGGAACATTTTCAAAAGTTAAGTTGAAAAAGTTCTACATTCTATATGCATTTTTTATATTTTAAGCCCCCCCATATATAGGGAAATAGTCTGATTTTAAAAAAAAGTATATCCAATGAAAGATGTATATAAATACTACTTCTCATGAAAAAATTGTATTGATCCATACATTTTTTAAAAAGTTATAGCACTTTAAAGTAAAAAATGTAAATTATAAAATCGAAAATTTTCACACAAAAATTGCATTCGGTAGCCGTTTTCACCATGAAGACAAGTCCAGAGGTCNGATTTGAGATCTATCATTGGAGCGTAGCCGAAAACTTTTCAAAAAAGAGGAAGATCCTGAATAGTGTGATGATCAAAAGACTTTTTTTTACAGGAATATAGTTTTCTATGCATTCATTGTTAATTGTCTCAAACTAAACTACGCTGTGTGTACGTTATTAATTAATAAATTAGACTTAAATTTCAAGCTTAAATTAAAAAGAAAATAATCTTGTGTTTAAGACATCTTAAATATTTTCATGTTATTTATAATTAATTAAAATTTGATGTTCATATCTGTGCGATGTATTTTTTTTTATTAATCTCTTTTTAAAACGAGTTTAACAACGAGTAGTTAAATGGTCATTAGTGTCACAGTTTAATTATAAAAAGTTCATCAAAATACATTTGTCTTAAACAAAAAAAAAAAAAAAGATGATGTTATTCAAATAAAGTTTTTTCGGTTCCACAAATGTATTTTACTTTCAGTTATATATCATATTAAATTTAGCGGAAAAGTATTCTAACTTTGTGTTATAATATAATCACAGATCAACACCTGATTTTTTACACTGCGGCGTTCATGCAAATAACAAAATAAGTAATCTGACTTTGTATTATTTTGACATCACATTTATAACAAACTAGGATTCACTACACTAAAAGAGAAAGATGAATATCTTATTTTTTTTCTTCTTAGCAATACTACTCGAAATGATAAACGCGACAAAGGCGTAAAAAATCAAACATATAAATTTAGCTTATTTTTGAATGCAGTTTAAAGTTGTGAGTTTAAAATCCCTTTCATATACCAAGACTTATTTATGGCGCAGTTTTCAAATAGTTTCCAGATTGACAAAGTCTAAGAAGTTAAATCCAAACTTTCAGTGACATAAATAAATTTCATTTTTTAAATTTTATTATTTTTTGAGAAAAGTTTGATAGAAGCCAATAGTTTTCAGACGGTTAATGTTAATATACTTATATTTAGATTTCAAGAATAATTTTTACGTCAAAAAAGTACCAGTTTGATTACAATTTATTTGAAACGAATATCAATTTCTTATTTATCTCTTATACGAGATGATTTAGTATCGAGTAGTACACTTGAACATTGTTCAGACATAAACTTGATATTTTTAAATCACTAAAAAAGTGAATTACTTTATTTTATTGATATAAGGTAAACTGGAGTAATAGTCCATTATTGATATAAATATTTAAATTTTATAGTTATGAACCAACGGTTGATGAATATTGAATCATAGACTTTTGTACATGTTTTTAGTAATTAAAATATCATCGCAATAACATTGAATTTAACATAACATAGATATAAAACTTTTTCATACTTTTATGTTATATTTCACTTTTTGAGTATAATATTTTAAGTATTTAAACAATTTTATAAGACTTGAATTTTTTTTCGTTGATTATAAAAAATTATTATTAATTAATAATGAGACATATATTATTAAAAACACAGTTTTATATACACATACAATTTTTGATAAGTAATTTTAAAGTTATGATTTGGGGTAAAAGTCCTAACGTAACTATAAAGGTAATATTTTGCATTTACTTTGGAATAAATGAGGTTTATGTCTAATTGAAAAATTTTGAACAATTATTTTTTTTTCTTTATTATCTTATACACAATCTGTTTCAAATAGGTATAATTGGAGTTTTAAGTGATTTTTCCCCTCTTAAGTTAATAGATTTATATACCATTTGCTCTTTAATCAACTTGGAAGATTACTAGGAATAACGTTTGTTGAAAGATCTTTTATTAGAAGATTGAAGTGAGATGCCAGTCGAGTGTGGAATCTTTTATAACATATTATTGTTTCTTCTTTCACAATTTTAATTTTCAGGTTAGTGTGGAGGGTGTAACTTGATAGATAAAAGGGCGATTTTGTTAATTTTCTTAATGTAATATTTTGAAAAGCTTGTATTCAGTTTAAATTTGATTTTTTGGGGTTTCCCCATTTTTAAAGACCATAAGTCCATATAGCTTTGATGAGAGATTTATACATTAGTAGTTTTATTTGTTATTAATGAGTTAAGTTTTAATCATACGAAGTCGGAGATTTAACTGAAGTCTTTTTGCACGAATATGATGGGCCCAGGTATATAGGAGTTCTAGGGTTAAGTCTAGATGGAGTGTGACTACAATGGAGAGTAACACTTGGGCACTGTCCGAACTTAAGAGTAAAAATTGTGTGACACGATTTCACTTGATTGACCTTAAACTTCCAAGAATAATTAATATAAAATTTTTTATTCTAATTCCTTTGTAAGATAAATTATTTATTGAAAAATATTATTTTTTGAGAAAAAAAATGTATTTTTAAGTAGCTAACTCTTTTTTCTTTTATTATAATATTGAATTGCACAATCATTATATTTAATAAGCTTCGACAATACTTGTTATTTAGAGTAAATATTCCAGGTTTATAAGTTATTTATTTATTTGCTAGTCAAAACTTATTTAATACTAATTGGATTTATTTTTCATTTTGTTTCAGCTCATTGCTCATTAAATGGAGTCTAATTTCACTATTAATACTTTTTTATTTTATTTTATATACACAATCTGTATCAAAAAGGAACAATAAGAGTATTGGCTAAATTAAAATAACACATGACAAAAGAAGCCACCCATTGATGATATTTTTAAATGAATATGTATTTAAGTATACATATATTTATATATACACGCAAATACATATATAAATATGTTTTTTTTTTTTTTTTGAATAATAGATCTCTACACCATTTGCGTTTTAATCGTCTCGGAGGATTTCCAGGAATAATTATGTGGAATCTTATATAATAATGGTTGCTTCTTTTTTCACAGTTTTAATTTTCAGGTCAGTATGGAGTATAAAGTTGGAAACGTATGGAAGGGAGTTAGTTAGTTTTCTAAGGGTAATATTTTGAAAAGTTTGTATTCCATTTAAATTTGTTTTTTTGGCATTACCCCATAATTGGATGCCATAGGTCCAAATAGGTTTAATTAGGGATTTGTACATTAATAGTTTTGTTTCCAAGTTTGTTTATTTATTATTAATTATTAAAGTTTTAAGCATACAAAGTCTGAGGTTTAATTGTAGTCTTTTTTCACGAGTTTGATGAGCCCATGTAAGTCGGCGGTCGAGAGTTAAACCAAAATATTCTATTAATACTTAATTTGTATTTTTTTAAGTTGGTCTAGCCAAAAAAAAAGTAGTTTACAACTAGCTATACTACAAGTTATATGCGATAAAAATAATGTGCGCACTTTACCCCAAATTAATCTTTGTAGAACACAAAAAAAAAAGTTTTTAGTGTAAATACTTAAAACAAATTATTAGCATATCTATCTACTTTATTCACTAAAAGGATTCATCTAAAATTATTCTATTTAACACAATGAAAAATAAAACTACAGCGTTTGAAA